AATCTGAACTCTGTGCAAAACAATTGCATTTGCCAGATAGAAAACTTGGGGTTAATGGTAGAATCTGTGTACACAAATGAAAGCTGAACAACCTTTCTGGAGGACAGATAGATGCCTAGGGGACAGGACAACCCCTGTGCTCCAACCAATTTAGTTGCCAGCCACCCTTCTGGAATTGCTTCAGTTCTCTCTATAGAATCTTTAATCAGCTGCCCTCCTGGTGTGCACCAGGTGGGATTTTACTCTCAATTTAATCCTCCTTTTAAAATTTATGTGCAGCTTTTCTTCCATTCTCTGCACATTTTGTTTTTAGAACACCAGTTCCTGTAGGATATATGATTGACTAATCTCAGTATGTAGCCACTACTATATTTAATGCTCTTGGGTATTCATGAGGAGTTAATGATGTCAAGTAATCATATATAGCTTTTCAGGTATATCATACATCTAAATAAAGACATTAGCTAGCTTCCATCGGAAATATGAAGTTTAAGTGATGAATGTCAGCATCTATGCCCACTGGAAGAAAAGAGGGTGCAGTCAACAAACTAACATGAATTATTAGGTATTATTACCTGCATAGCATGGGCCTCAGTACTGTGGATGCAAGAAAGTACAGGATCATATTTCCTGTCATTACAGAACAATCTTCATTTATTGTACCCCATGATCCACACAATAACATTGAAAGAAGCAGAAAAGTTATTAACATCCTAAATTTGCAAGGGAAGCAAGACTCAGAGTTGTAGCTTTACTAGCAATTAGTAACAGAACTTTATACCCTTCAGGTATATGACCGGTAGCTGACCATCTTACTGGATGTCAAAGCTGATAGCCTCTGGTGGACTACCAGCAGAGCTTCCTTCCTGCAATCACTTTCTGAAAGGCTTATCAGTCCTGAACATCTTTAGGCACTTTTAGTTATTGAAAGAGCCCCCATTCTGGTAACTGACTCATTCCTATTTATTGTTAAATATCAGTCTCATAATTAATTCAAAAATTTTCCCCAAACCCCTGCACTCACTATAGCAGACTGCATTTATAATAACTTGGAGAGGTTATCAATTCACTCAGCCAATTTCCTCCTTTTCTTTGTCCATTTTGCACTGCTACCACAAAATATCTGAGACTGGGTAGTTAATAAAAAGCAGACACTTGTTTTCTCAGTTCTGGAGTCAAAGAAGTCCAAGATCAAGGTTCTGGCATGTGGTGAGGATCTTCTTGTGTTCTCACGCAGAAAAGGTGGAAAGTAGAAGGGCAAAAAAAGGAGAACTCCAGGTCTTTCCATGACAGAAGGGCACAAGAGACCAAATCCACTCCTCTAAGCACTTTTATGCTGACATTAGCGCACTTGTAAGAGTGGAGGCCTCATGATATAAACACGTCTCATTAGTCCCTACCTCTCAACTCTGTTTCATTGGAGATTAGGTTTCCAACACACAAATGTTGGAGGATATATTCAGATCATAATACCCTTTTATAACAAAGCTAGAGCACATTTATTCTGTAATAAAATTGATAATATAACTTATTTAACATTCTACAGAATACTCCAACTATAACACAGAAGGGTATACATAGTAACCTTTTGCAATAAATCAATGTTTTCACATTGTGTAAACACTCAGATATGACCACACTTGATTAGATGTGGTGGCCAGATGCTTGCCCCGTTAGGTAGATAGAACTTAATATTGGATACAAGAGCAACAGCCATAATCTCTAATGGGCAACACTGCCAGAGTAACGTTCTAAAATGGTGAAGAGTTCTTTTTAAATTCTAAATGAAACAAAATACAATCTTTCTTCAATATGCACAATAGTTTATTTCTGCAAAAGTCAGTATAAACCGTGCAAACATCCATAGTTTCTCTATAAAAGTGAGAGTGAGGCTGTGGGCTTGGATGATAGATATCTTCACCTGTGTAAGTGCTCTGCGGGAACATCCGAAATTTATGTGAAGGCCATTTAATTGCTGTATAGAACTGTTCCCACACACTGTGTTGAATGTCTAACTCCAGCCCAATGAATGTCTACAGCAACGTCCACATTATTGTGACAACAACAAAACACTTCACGAATTATCAAATTTTCCCCTTGGGAGTATCCCCATTGAGAACTTTCATTCCAGAGTCTTGGAAAGCACAGGGACATTGTTTACTGCCTTGCCCACCTTTCTTGTCCTACACTCCCATGGCAACAGGCAGGGGAGAGAACACCTCTTATAGCCAGGTTATAGCTCCTTCATGACAGTGCCTGCCACAGACTAATCTCACTTGTTTTATATTCAGTGGGGATGGGCAAAGTACTCAACTGTCCCAAGATACTTTTGAATTAATGTCCCTTCCAGGCCCTGGGGGAACTTATGTGTGATTTTTCTCTTATAGGTTGATCCACCCAACTTCTGGCCCACACAAAATTCACTTCATGTCCTGGGTAGAGCCCTTGCCAATCCACAGCTTCGATCTCATCTCTCCACTATGACCTCACTCCTCAGATCATTCTAAATACAGTACCTCTCTGACACCAAGTCCGTCTACACCCTGTTTCTCCCCATTGGTTTCTCACCTACTCTGGGAGTATATGATGTGAAGTAGACTACAGACCAAGACATTCTCTTATTCTCACAGCCATTAAAGCACTTTTTGGTGCCATCTATTTCCTTTATCTTAAAGACTAGAAACTAGTGGGTACTTCCCTCCACAATTCTTAACCTGGGCTGGGGGGGCAATACATGAGCCATCACTGCTTTGCTTCTGTATCACAGTGGGGAAATCTTCACATGATCAGGTAGAAATACAGGAATCTTTTAAAGTTAAGAAACACATTGATTCCTTTCCACACTTAAGCCAATGTTTTTCTTGTTACATTAACTATCGATGTTTCTTTTGTAATCATTCTCCTTGATCCAAAAAGTCTAAGAGAGTAATTTGGAACAGCATATTAGGTAGGGATGTGGCATTGAGAACAAGTTTCCACCAAGTAATCTTAAAAAGCAATATGGTGGGGAATTTTGGTAATTGTTGTGATTAGTGATAAGCACACAAGACAAGGCACAACAGTGAAAGTGAGATCATATCTAGAAAACATGATTTTAGTTTTAACTTTCCAGTTGTCAAATATCTCCTAATTTCTAACTCAAAAGGATTTCTGCTAAATCATATGAAATGAAGGAAGGTGAGAAAGATATCATATATATAATATAAAGACTATATGTGTATATATATAGTCTAGAATCTAGACATTGTAAGGTCAAATTGTTCTATATTGAAACTAAGACCAGGCCGCAGGATGAAACAAGAGAGTCATCTTGTCCTTAAGGATTAGGAAGTGTCAGAAGAGATGTTAGAAATGCACATAGAAGATTAAACCAATTGACTTACCTTTTGACCTGCTATCCAACCAACTGGAATGTATTTAGCAAAACTATATCCATATGTGCATATATATATATATATATATACACACACACACACACATATAGTCTTTATATTATATATATGATATCTTTTGATCACATATTATATATATTCATATATTGTGTATATATATAATATATTATATATAGAGAAATGATCTTTATGTGTATTTAGAGTGCCTCCACTGATTTTGTATAAATCTAAAATGATAGTAAAATAGTAAAAATAATTATACCTAGGGGAAGTAAGAGGCTCTATCTAAAGTTCATACTTAACAAAACATTGCTCCATTCAGCTTTACTACATAGTAGATTTAAAAGTTTAGTGGGCAGGTAAGGGATCTCTTCACCTGTTCCCTTGTTACAACTCAGCCCTATGTTGTACAAAGAAGACCAGATATTTTTAGATTGCTATAAACAGACAGCAGCACACCAGGGCAGAGGGAGTGGGGGCAGGAAATTTAAGGTGCAAAGAATAAGGGGATACATTGTCTGTAGAGAATTTAAACACATAATAAAACCAAGTGAGGGTGTCTGCTTTTTATTATCACTATTCTTCATCTCAGCGATGAAATACTCTCTGACCTCTAAAGCAGACTACCACCCCCATCCCCACCATGGTAAGGCAGTTCCATGGTATGGAATGCTTTTCCAAGCATACTAACAGCCTTATAAAAATCATATGTGTTCGGGTTGAAACCATCCAGAATGACTCCCTCGGAATGAAAACAGTGCTTTTAAAAACTACTGGTCTTAAAAAAATAAAAAAATAAAAAAAAAATAAAAACTACTGGTCTTGAAGAGCATGAAACTCTTTTTTTTTTATTTTTTTTTTATTTTTTTTTTATTTTTGGTACCAGGGATCAAACTCGGGTCCTTGCGCTTGTGAGGCAAGCAGCAGAACCACTGAGCTAAATCCCAGGCCTAAGAGCATGAAATTCTGCCAAGATTAGAGCCAAAGTCGGGGAAAAAGGATTGTCATTTACAGTCATTACTTAGGCCCTCTTTGAGATCATTTTAATCATCTCTTCCCTGATCACTTTATCACTGGTCATGCCCACATTAATATGTCTCAGACCATGTCATCAAGATGGACCTTCATAAACCACATAGAATTCACTTCTTCAAAATCATGAAAATAATTCTACTTATGAGACTAAATTCCTAGGGATCACGGATGATATCTAGTGTGTTTTTCAATCACCATGCCTCTGAATGGAGGAGTCACTTACTATTTGCCTCCCGAGTGATTTAAAAATCCAACCAGTAAATCTGCTGCAAAATTTCCATTATATGTTTGCCCTTTAATGAGGTATTTTCCACTAATTTGCATCATTTATTAACACATTGATTAGAAGTTATGACTTAAGCAAGCACTTTGAGGTGCTAAATGATTTTCCATCCAAGTATTATTTTTCCTTGAGCAAGTTCTGTATTCAGAGGTTTCTTTTTTTGATAAAATAAATAGGAACAAACAAAACGAAACCTGTGTGAAATTGGGTAATTTCAAATAAGAATAGAGGGAAAAGGAAAAGGAAGTGTGACAGACTCCAAGAAAGGAAGCATGGAGCCATCCTTTGGTTATGCATATGTGAGTCCCCTCTCTCCTTACCAATGTTGTTGAGTTTGCGGCAAGGGTTCACTTATTGTAGAGCTTATTTACATAAAGTTGGCCATCCAGCTACATTACTGAGATGCTATACAGTAAATAAAACCACAGGAGCACTTAGAATTATTATAGCATCTTCACCTTAGAAGAAACACTGTAACTTTATGTGCAACTCAGGGAGCATTCTGTTTGGGACAGCCAACAAGTTTATATAACATCAATATATTCAGGTCCCTGAATATAAAGGTGCAACACATGTGATCGTGCATCTGTCATTAACCCTAATAAAATCCAGTGGTTTTGAGGTAGCAATTCCAAGAGAGCTTCAAGAAAGACAGAAAATAATCATCAAACAAATTAAATGCTTATCACTTAATCTGCTTGGAATCCTGAAAAAATAAAATGATGCTGTTGTCAATAGGAAGCTTTAGAGCATTCACTTCCTTCCACAGCTGGCTAACTAGACTAGTAGTACCTCCTCCCCAAATGCCCTATTTCATTTTCCTTGTTTTATTGCTTTCATAGTTTTATTTCTCTCTGACACCCTACAATGTGTAGATTTGTTCATTTTGCTTTTGAATGTTGTTTTCCTCATAGAATGTAAGTTCCAAAAGAGTAGGAATTTTATTGATGTTTTTCCTTTCCTTTCTTTAGTGTCTGGGATGACAGTGCCTGGCCCAGAATAAGTTCTCAAAGGTATTTGAATGTGTACATGAAAAAATGAATGAACAAATGAATTAATATGATGATTATGACCTGCCTTTTATTTTTCTCTGTTTTGCCCAAATGTTTTCACCTTAAATGAGTTCTATGATGACTGGATGAACATAATCAGAAAGCTCAGAATTCCTTAATTCTTAAAACTTAATTTTCAAAAATTTAAGCATGACAATCATAAAGTACATACTTAATGAACTTAGTGAGGAAATAAGAGATTTTCTGACTTGTTTTTAAATGAAGCCAAATGAGAGCTTATTAGTAATTCCTGAGATAAGTAACAAAGGGTCAGTTTCCAGGCTCAAGCCTGAGGCCTGGTCAGATTGTCATCTCTGTGTGGTTCAGGTTCCTGCAGTGTCACAGGTAATCTGTCTGTCATCACAAAGCAGGTGGCCAGGCAGGACTGTGAGTGTGGATACAGTGACTATGTCAGTTGCTAACTAGGGCCTGTGCTGCAACTACAAGGAGGTGATTGGTGTTAAGTTACAATTTGCAGTGCACAAGGGCCAAAGAATTTACCGTATAAGCAAAATCTACCTTCTTACCACATACAACAGTCCCTTTCCAGTGGACAACGTGTTTTATTAATTCATCTACCATAATCCAAAAAATGCCCTAGATCCTAGGGGTAGAATGAGTGTTCAACATGACAGACATAGACCCAACTGCTATGGACTGTGCTTTCCTAGTCATTTCTTCCAATCTGCTTATGTATCTTTGTCAGGTTAATTAAGTCACCCTCTTCTGCCTTTGAGAGATTCAAGAAGGCCTTAAAATATGTGTAAGTTTTTATAAACTTCCAAGAAAAGTTTTCATTTTTATATTCTGTTAAATATCAATACCCAATAGAGCAAAATAGAAAATACATTGTCCTGGATATAAGGGAGCTTTTCACCAGTCTTTATCATAATTATCTACTTAGCCTTAGGCTGGTAATTTTTCTGCCCTGACTGAACTTTAAGCACCTAGAGAACTAAACTAAAAAGCAAGAAAAAAAAAAAAATACTCCCAACAAACCCACACCAACACCCACACCCACACCCTCCCCCCGACACACACACATTCACATGTACTGTACCTGTACACAGGCATGTACTCACGCACTCAGGATCCAGATAGGACCTCCGAGCAGTAAGAAGAAAATCTCCAAAGGTGAGGGAAGCTGGGCTTGAGTATGATTTTAAAACAAACGATTTGATACACAGGTGCAGCTAGGATTGAGCAAATCCTTGTGTATTTTCATACTCTGTCTACAAAATGAAAATAATCGTAGCTCCTCTAATTAGCTCTTAATAATTTGTTATATAAAAATTAAGTTAAAGAAGCAAATACTTTTAAAGCCTACATAAATAACTTACTGGTTATTTTGATGTACATACTTAGACATGTTGAAGCTAATCCAAAGAAAGCTAAGCTTTTCATGTGACAGGATGATATCTAAAAGAAAGAAAATAAAGAAGGATAAATGTGAGTCATTTGTAAGTGAATGGATGTACCTTGAGGCCATAATGTTAAGTGAAATGAATCAGACACACAGCTTAAATGTTGTATGATTTCTTTTATATGAGAAACCCAAAATATAAATAAATTAAAGGGCAAAATAAATGATACTGAGAAACAGGGAGGTAGATCTTTTGCAAAAGAGGAGAGGACCAAGAGGTGGAGGGGGAACAAGGGAGGAGAAGGGGAGAAAAAAAGAATGATGATGTATATATGCATATAACAACTCTTCACAATGAATGTAATCATTATGTACTACAAACATACACTAATAAAAAATAACAGGAAATAGAATGTAGTTTCTGACCTTTACTTGACTGTGATTACTAAGAATTCTTTAGGGCATTGAGTAAGTCTGAATCTTTGGATATGAGAACATACACTCGTCTTATCCATGTACTTCCAGGTGTAGCATGCAGCATCCTTAAAATCATAGATGAAGACAACCACAAGTTCAGGCTATTTCCCCCACAGATATCTTTGTTATGACCATGTTCAAGAGCTACTTTCTGGGCAATGTGTTAACCATTAAAATACTGGCAGTTCTCAGATTCAAATCAGTGGCCAGCAATTGAAAATGTAGTGAGGGAGCTATACATCATCGAGGATGCCTTAGAAAAGAGATTTATTGAAGAAGCTGACATGCAATCTCTCAGGGACATTGCCTCAGATCTGGACCGTGTGGAGCAACCTCCCAGGACAGACCACCCCAGGTGGCTCATTTTGAGGTGTTATTGATGAGGACCCCTTGCATCTACATTGAGAAGTCTGTGCCAACTTAGTGAAGTTCATGTCCTATAAAGTCCCCTTTTGATAACATTACCATGCCAACCAGAATCTGAGTTGTAATAGGATTTAAAGTGACTCTTTGAAATCCTACCCTCATACATAAAAGATATGTGATCAAGTTGATATCCACACATTAAAAAAAGAAAAATATTATGAACAAACATAACTACTGTCTGTGCTGACAAAATCAGAAAATACTAGCAGCTTTTTTCACTATAGAGAAGCCAAGTACTTTCCCTAAAGCAGAAATACATATTTTTCTGGATTACTCACTTTATAGAACTCTATAGAACAAAAGTATAGCATAATTATAATCAGTTATGAGATGGCCTGGTTATGGAGATTCTAGTTAATTTGGTTTTAAAAATTCATATGGATATAACTTTTATAGAATTCTATAACTAATAATAATAATATCATTGATTAATTACTATGCTCAAGCAAGTTCTCACAACTTCTTGAAGGAGGATTTTATGATCAAGATTTTGCAGACAAAATACATTAAGATTCTAGAATTTTAAAAAACTTCCCCAATCCCCCAAATCAAGAAGAGAACTGTGAGTCTCTAACACAGGTATTTTGACTTCCAAGTCTGGCTCTGAATCATACAGTTGTTCTTTTCTGACCCACTAATTGCTTTGATAATGATTCTACCATTGGTAAATTTGTGAGATATAAATTTGAGAGATATAAATTTGATATTTCCTTATGTAAAAAGGAGCAGTGAAAAAAAAAAAAAAGAAACCATCAGAATTCTATACAGCCCAACCCTTGAGTAAAAGTTGGTCAAATGTAGAATTGTAGGTCTCCGCAATCCCAAGACTACAACAAATTAATTGGAGACTCAGAGGAAGTGGGTGATCTCTCAGAAATGTAGCACAGAAGAGGAGGGTTGTAACTTCAGAACTACCTGGAAGGCTGCTCTTACTCTGTGGATTTTTATCTGCTACAAGGACCCATACTAGGGGGGTACATCAGTGGTGATTAACTGGTCAAAACAAAGCAGAGAAGTAAAAGTTCGACTGCAGAAAGAAGATCCTAGGGAAGGGGATGAATAACACTTAGAAGTCAACAAAGAATCCCCATGGTCAACCTTAAAGCAAAGAACCCTGGGTCCAATTGGCAAGACAGAAAATCTACAAGAGAAAATAAAGGGCCCAGTGGAGAAATGGCTATACTGTGCTCCACTACTGGCCTGGCTGGGAGCACTATAACACCTTCCTCTTATGTAGAAACCAGTGTGTAAATCAGCTTTTCATTGCTGTAATAAAATACCTGACAGGAGCAATTTAAAGGCAGAGAGATTTATTTTGGCTCATGGTTTCAGTCCATGGTTTCAGTCCATGGTTTTCTCTATCACTACAAGCCTGAAGCAGGGCTGAGCATTATGGTATGCAGCACATGGTGAGGAAAAGGTGCTTACCTCAAGAAACTAAGAAACAGACAGAGTCAGAGGAAAAGAGGCTGGGACCAGGCATAGCCCTGTGACTTCTCACTTCCCTGATGCTCTACCTCCTAGAGTTCCATCAATTCCCCAAAATGCTCTTAAATATGAAGAAGGTAGAGTGCTTATTATCCAATTATTCCCTGAAGACCAAGCAACCAAGTTTTCAACACAATGACTATCTTGGGGGACATTTTGAATCCCAACCCTAACAAGCAGAATGAGGAGTATGAGACTGATTCTGTGAACAAACAGACAGGTGGGTGGTGGCAGTTGGCACAGTAGGAAACTATGTGTGTATGGTGGGAGGGTGTTGCTAGCACTCTATTAACACATTTAAGAGGCCCAGGTGATAGAAAAAACAGTCATGGTATCTCTGACCTAGGTGACTCAAAGTAAATATGATAAGACCTACAACAAAGTACTTGTTTTCCCTATAATGAAAAACTATAAGGTGTTTTATTACAGTATCAGATATTTTAAAAACACATTTTGGTATTCATGATTTCAGTTCTAACTGCAGACTGAACAAAAAGAGCAAATTTACATCATATATACTTGGTTTGAAAATGCATACACTAAAGGATCTCCTGAATGTTTGCTAGGAAATAGTTCATAAAACTCTGAACCATATTTAGAATATATCTAAGTGATATTCCTGTGGAGTTACTAAGTTGTTGTGCAACACTGTTTTGGGAAGAGAGCAGTGGAAAATGGTGACTCCAAATCCCAAGTCCAGAGGAAAGAATAGCAATCAATATATGAGAAAACCATTAAGAAATACTATTGCAATTGGAATGTAAATCATCACCTGCTCAGGTACAGTATCTATCTCCAAAGCCACAGCCTGCAGTGAGCTCACTATTTCCTTACCTGGAGCTGTAGTCTCCTGTTGCCTTGTGCTGGTGACATAGCCTTTGATAATTCTTGCAATAAAAATCCAGTCATGTATGACATTTAGGAGGGAGCAAAAGGTTCAATCTGCCCCAGGCCCTGGAACCATTATAAAGATGCCTATAAAAAAGTAAAAGAAAATTAGGGGTCCAGAAATTGAGGCAAATCAAAAAGAGTATCAGATCACCAGGCTCTAGACTGCTTCTTTTCTTTTTTTTTTTTGGTACCGGGGAGGGGATCAAACTCGGGTCCTTGTGCTTGTGCAGCAGGCGGCGAAACCACTGAGCTAAATGCCCGGCCCTAGACTGCTTCTTTATAATGGTTCTAGATAAAGAAAAGACAACATAGTGGTTTTTTTCCCCCAAGAATTCAAATTAACCTACGTATTTATACTAGGAAAGAGAAGGAATAAGGAGGACCAAGATGTAACTTTAACATCATTTTGGCTAAGACACAATTAACATTAGGCATCACTGGAACATAGGCATTTAAAGACCAAAGCCGTTGTAACCTTTGTCACAAATATACTTGTACTTTCAAGAAAATCTTGTTACTAAGTGGCCTACTATCGCAAAACAGGCCACACCCTTCCCATAAAATCTATTGCAATGACATAGAGCTCACTCACATTTTTATTTCGCTCTTCCACGTGTCTCCTTTATTACCAGTTGTTCCATTTTCCTATGCCTGGAGTCTTTAGTTACCGTCCTCTCTTGGTGTCATTTAGGAGCAGCCCCTTTTCTCTCCAGGTCCCTTTCATTGAGTCTGAGCCAAATATCTGCCTCTCACACTCCCTGGAAGTCTGTTTTTGGCTGAGGACATACTTGCACAGAGAGATGGTGACCTTCTGTGTCTCCCCATGTGTCAGTCAGTGACGTCTCACAGAGATTCTGTGTGGAGAGTGGTTCCCAAGAAAATCTGACTCAGAAAACAAAATGATGTTAGGAAGGAAGGATTCCTGCAAATTTGCAAGACAAGAAGCAGCTTGGAGCTTCTTTTGTGAGCCAAGGTCCATAACCACCAGAGAGATGTGACAGAGCTCTTCTCATTCAGCTAGCATCAGTGGCACTTGTAAATCTGCGAGACATGCAGACCCCGGAACCATCAAGGTCTAGTGAATAAGAAATTGTGACCCCCAGCTGACTCATCCTCACATTCACGTTTGAGGAGTCTTGGCCTAGAGCAGTAGTTCCCAAACCTTCACTGCACATAGGAATGGACCAAGGAACATTAAAAAAAAAAAAATCAAATTACTGATGCATGAGTGCTAGTCCCAGAGACTTGGGGTTAATCAGTCTGGGGTGTGGCCTAACCACTGAGCGCTTTTAAAAGCTCCCCAGGAGCTCTGAGGCATAGCCAGCCACTGGCTAGGTGGCAGAGGAAGGCATCTTCTGTCTTCAGCCACCCCCATCCCCTTTGCTGCAGAGGCAAACTGGAATTCCTGGAGTCAGAATCTCTTTTCTGACTGCCAGAGCTGTGGTGTAAGTACCAGCAAAGAACTCCACTACAAAACCTAAACTCTCTGCCTTCTGCTTTGCTATTCTCTCTGCTTAATCTCTCCATATACCAAGCATCTCGGGAGTGCCCACATCCCAGCAAGGCGCAAGGGCCACCAATATCAACTGATGCTCCATAAATACAAACCGAGGGCCTCATCTGAGAGCTACCGAATCAGAATCTGTACAGATTCTACAGCAGCACTGTGCATTCCCAGGTGTGACTGATGTGCAGCCAGGTTTGAGAGCCATGAACTCCAGTGGGTCTAGCCTTTCATCCTGCCAAGTTATTAAGGATCTGTAAGGATGAATGAGCTGTCAGGAGAGCAAAGGCCTGCTGCAGTAGTCCTTTATTAATTATGGGGAAGTGATGTATTGGCTATGCTAAAGCTTCTCTTGCAAAGGCCAATGAATGGTTGTCGATTGCTGCATTAGGTCTTCCCTGACTCGTCTCAATGCTCAGCTTTTACTCCTCTCTGTAATTTAAAAGGGGCATGGCTTGCACACTAAACAGCCTCTTGGTCCTTATTTCCAGGTGAGCTGCAATCTTTGAGGGAAATACCCACAAGACTTCTTGGCCATGGAAATCCCCCGCTCTCATAGCCCTTTCTGCTTGTTCAGCATCTAGTAGCTAGCGTAGATGCCTGCGTATCTGATATGTAGGAAAAAACACAGAGTAAGGATTATTTTTTTAATCATTGATTCATCCCCAGATCGCTTTACTAAAAGGAAAGCTTCCTTTAGCACAGGGTAGAATGTGGAGGAAGAAAGATATATCTGGAGTAACAAATTCAGAGGTGAGAAACGGGTAGGCGAATGGGAGTCGGGGTTCTTTCTATCTGTGGATGAGACTGAGTAAGGTTCAAAAGAAAAGTTGCAGCGCCAGTCTGCGCGTGGCACCGATGGGCCGGGCGTCCGGGAGCTCAGCGCTAGCGCGCGTGGCCACAACGCACTGCGGGGCCCAGAGCCACGAGGAAATCGAGAAATATTCTCAGCCTTAGAGACCCAGAGGCCGTGGGGGCTCCCTAGGCGCCGGGGCTCGGGTCGCCCAGGGCACCCGAGGGTTGCGCAGGGTTCGCTGCGGCGGGAGTCCGGGGGCAGCCGGGCGAGCGCGCGTGAGAGCAGTGGGTGCGCGGCTGCGGGCGGGTGCGCGGGAGGGAGGAGGAGGAGGAGGGAGCGGGAGGAGGAAGAGGAGGGAGGAGGAGGAGGGAGGAGGAGGAGGGAGCGCGCGCCCGCCCGGCCTCGGCCCTCCCAGCCCGCCGGCCTCCGTTCCGCTCCCGCGCGCACCTCTGCCTGCCGCTCCCGCTCCCGCTAGCGCCGGCGCTGCTCGGATCTGCCCGCTGCCGCTGCCGCCGCCGCCGCCGCCGTCGCCTGCTTTGTGCTTTCCCCAGAAGATGGGAGCGACCTCTTCCTGCTCGGGAGCTGTTTAAAAGGAGGGAGCGCGCCGCGTTTCCTGAGCGTGGAGGGACTGGGGGAGAATCCATTCACACTCTTCAGCCCAGGTAGGACCTGAGGATGGGCGAGCAGAAGGGAGTCAGCCAGCGACCAGGGTCTGTTCCCCCCCCCCCCTTTGCTGTTCATAAGGCCACACTTCCTTAGTTTTAGCCAAAGATGAGCTTTTTAAATTGTGTGTGTGTGTGCGCGCGCGCCCGCGCTCGAGCCTGCACATTTTCTGGGTGTCCACGCTCCTCGGAGAGTGAAATTGCTCGGGCTGGTGTTCCTGGGGGTGAGGGTGTCTGCCGACCAGTGCAGCCTGCAGGGGGGAAGAAAGGGCTGCTAAGGAGGGATGCTGCACCCAGCGCCTGGGCTCGGGGGATTTAGGGTGCAAAGAGCTAAGTCCACCAGAAAGCAGCTCTTCTGGGGATCCCGGCGTCCCCACCCATTGGGCTCCTTTCCACGGCCATCCTTCCTCCTGCTAATCCCTGGGGTCTTCAGCACGGCCACACTTTCAAGCCCAGTCTGCTGGCGGGCTCTGGGGGCGCCTTCGCAGAGCAGTGCAGAGAGGAGGGAGGTGTGGCCGTGCTGAGGGGCAGACGAGGAAGAAATGTGGTGGGGGGCGGCTCAGGCCGCGTCCTTGGGCGCTGAGCCGTGGTGTGCGTTGGAGATTCGCCACACACGGGCATCTTCCCGCAAGAGATTTCAGGGGAACTTTGCATTATGCGCCTCAGGGGCTGTGCTGGCTCCTGGGGAAATGGTCAGATTCGGAGATGCAGAGGATATCCTTCTTGGCTCCTCTTTCACGAAGAAGAGGGAGGTCTTATAGATGGACAGTGGGCTAAAAACGCCAGATCCTTCCAGGCGATGCTTTGAAAAAACACGGCATATGTGCGCTCTTGATTCTTTAACTCCCCCACCCCCCATTCTGCTGTTGTTTGATGAATGACTTGGGCTGGCGATTCGTATTTCCCTCTCCAGTTAAAGTAGCAGTGGCTGAGTTGGGAGCAGGGGTGATGAGATTTAACAAATAACGTTTTGAATAGGGCAGTGAGCATGTCACCTGCAGTCACTGGAAGGAAAGTCATGCGCCCCCCCCCCCCAGGCCCCAGCCCCCAGCCCCAGCCCCCAGCCCCAGCCTGGCTCCCCTCTAAGGCACTCTGCCTCCGTGCTGTCAGCCACTAGTGGTTGTGAATATAACAACACAAACTTTGTCCTGCTGGAGGTGTAAAGACTAAAAAGAGAAAAAAGGATATCAGTAGGAGGTGTAGTGGAAGAAGCTTTTTAAAAAATGACAGATGTGGTGAAGACAGTACAGGCTTCCTGATCATGGAGGAGCTGGCTGAGTAGGTGGAGATTTCTTCTGATCAGATCTGGTTCAAGGCGTTGCTTGTGTGAATGGCTTCAGATGTGAGCTGTTGGAACATCCACAAACCTGGACCCATGTGAAGAATCCCTAAGAGAAATGGGGGTAACAGGAGAGAATTCTGAAAGCCCCTCATGCACCCCAACACACATGGACACACGTACTCACATGCTTCCTCTTGCTCACAGCTCTTCTGCAGCAAGTCAGGAAAGGAGGGAGGAAAATGAATCTAGATGTCTCATTCATTTCAGATAAGAAAACAAAGCCCAAAGAGGGACGATTGGTTTTAGGCTCCTCTTTCCAATCCTGTGTTGCTTGGAATTTGCTCTCCAGGTTGGCCAAACTTGCTTCACTGGGAGGTGAGCTAGGTGTGTGAGTGGAAGGAAGGAGAGAGCTTGCTCCATTTTGGGGGCGTTGTGAATGAGCAGGTGGGGAGGATAACCTATTTTACAGGGAAGCAAGATGTGTTTTCTTAACTGCTTTTCCTTTTACAGTTTCTGCCCCTTTGAAGTTCTTCCTTTGGATCTTAGGGCTCTTTAGCTAAGATTTCTTCCACCTACCATACAAGGAACCCTGATTATTTGCCCTTAAAATGGCTGTTGTTTTTTTTTATTAAAAATGGAATGATTAATTCCTGGAACAACAGAAAAAATAAGGGGTGTGGGGGGGGTGCTTAGCAGAAGTAAACCATTATTTGCAGTTCAGCTGTGTGAGGTTGCAAAGGATGTAAGAGTATCCATGACAATCACACTTAATCTACTCTCTGGGAAGCTTAACAAGGCTGAGTGAAGAGAGTAATGAACTTAAAGAATACAAAGGTTGTGCTTTATATTTATCCATCTATCTGACTATTTACTTTCCTAGACTAGTTTTCATTTTGGATTTAGATTGAGAGCTAAGTAACCCTTTGTTGACTGTGAAAGGGAAGGAAAAAGCATAGCAGTGACAGTGCTATTAACTCCAAATAAATCTATAAAATAAGGTGAGGTACTGTCACCGTTGCCTACAGCACTAATCTGCAGGAAATACATTGATCGCTCCCTCAAGCTTGCTGTGTTTTGATAAAATAAGATACATTCCAAGAGAGCTTCAGCATTTCTTCACAAGCTATATTTAACATGTTTTTATCAGACAAAAATAGACTTTTATTTATCTTGCAAAATAGATGCATGGTTCCTTCCCCCATAGTACTTAATCTGTTTCTTGACAAAATAAATGATGAGAAAAGCTCTTCAGATCCAGTGAAGTCATTTCTCCTTTAAAAAACAAGTTAATAGAAAATAGCAGAAGCAAAGCAAAGCATTCACTATGCTCATGGATGCGTGTGTCTAAAAATAAGTGCGTTTTAGGACTTTAAGATCTGATTTTCAGGATGCCCTACAGTCTGACCAGCCATTTTTCCATGGTACCAGGGGTATAGGAAGATCAGTATGTAGGTAAGAAGCAAGATGAATGTAGCAAGTTCCAAAGTGAAACAGAAATTAAATCTGGAAAAAGAAATGCACAATGAAAAGAGGGTGTTAGAGCATATGGGTTACTTGTCTTATATTTTGCAGTGCATGTATATATTGCTTTCAGATAAAAATTGTTGCCTTGCATTTGCTAACAATTTAGGAATTAACATGGTGCTACTTCTTCCTTTTATCCCTTTCTTTCCTCTGAAAGATAAATGTTTTTTGCTAAAGCGTTCCCCAGTATATCCTTACTTACTCACCATAACCTCCTACACCTCATAGTTAGACCCTTCATCATAACCTCTACCAAATAGTCTCCCATCTGACCAAATTCTACTGCTCCCTCTTGTGGCAAATACTCTCCCTGACTGTTCCTTGATTCCAGAATTCTGTCTCGCATCCCTTACAGGTTCCTTGACTGTCTATCACTTCAGCTCTAATTCTCAGTAGTAATGGTGGCTAACCAGGTCAGTGGGTTGCTG